CGAGCCCAGGCACAGGGCCCAGAGGAGTGGGGTCCGGCTGGCCCGCTGCGTCCCCTAGGGTCAGGGGCACGGCAGTCAGACCTGCGGCCTAGGCCGAGGTCCCACCTGGCGGCGGCCACCGGAGCAGAGCCGGCCGGGCCGCCTCCCCGAGACTCGGGCTGGACCACGCCCTCCCCAGCAGAATGCACTCCCGTTACAGACACAAACGCACTTACCCTGAGTTTTGGGTTTTTCAGACTAGAAAAATAGTTTTCAAGCTAAAAAGAGAAGAGAAGTGTCATTAGGAGGAAGCCCCAGCTGTGCCGGGCCGGAGCCCCACCTGGGACGAGGTGCAGCAGACACAGGGTGACCAACCGGCTGTGGCCGTCGCTGCCCGCTGGCCAGGGAGCTATGGGCTGTGGGTCGGATGGGAACTGGCCCCGCCGGAGGCCAACCCACCACATGGCTGCCCAGGGTGCCCGTCGGGCTCTGGCAGCACCGAGCGCTGGGGCGAGGGTCTCGGCACCCAGGAGAGGCGGTGACAAGCAACGGCCGCACCAGGAACCCGGAGTGGGACCAAGGGTGGAGAGGAGGGCGGCCTGGGGTCACGGACAGGAAGGCCCCGGCACTCACTATGGTGCGGTCGATGGTGTGCAGGTAGTAGGAGACCGGCTTCCCCGTCCACGACACGGAGCCCTTCAGGGGCGACAGCTCCACCACACGCATGATGGTGCCAATGTCTGCAGGCGGACGCGGGCATGTGTCAGGGCGCACAGGGACTGCGGTCAATGCGGGAGGCAGCCCGCGGCCCCAGTGACGGGGTCAGAGGGATCGGGGCGGCCAGCTCCCCAGAGCCAGCAGAGCCACACACCGCAGGACCGGCGGAGCCGGGCCGACTAGGCAGCGCCAGAGGGCCACCCCGGGACGGCCAGGCTCCCTGGGACCCTGCACAGTAATGGCTATGGTGTTCACACGGGGAGCACCTGGTGTGGAGGGGGTGGACGTGGGGAAGCTGCCCACAGGGACGACCCACCCGCGTCCACAGTGCCAGGGACACGACGCCCACCAGACACAAACCCCCGTGGGGACATGCTGGCTTCGCGTCCTTACCACTCAAGTTCCGGCTGTTTATCCTGAAGTTTAGAGGTGCAAAGGGTTTCGAGGACACGATTCTGCCACCTGAAAGACAGAAGCCGGTCACCGCCACATCTACCCGCGGGGACCTCAGCCAGCCACGGAGGGCAAGGGCCGGCCGGGCGGTCGCAGCAGCTTCGTAGAGGAAGGCGAGCCGGGAGGCGAGGGTGCCCAAGCTGCAGCTGTACCAGCGCACGCGTCCCCACGTAGCGCCTGACAGGCCTCCGGGAAGGAAGGCCAGGTCACCGGACCGGCACGTGGCCTGCGGGTTAAGGCAGCTGGCGTCCTCACGGCCAGGCCCGCAGTCCTAGGGGACACGCACATGTCCATGTGCCCAGAATCCCAGGGCTGCGGCGACCGTGCCCCGTGGGGTGCTCCCCAACCTGCCCACTCTGGTGCTGGCAGCGCACACGCCTGCTGGCGAAACTTTTAAACACAGGCACCTTGGGCGGGTGGGTGTGAGGTGGCTGAGAGGCTGGATCCCCAGACCAGTGGTTCCACGGCTGGACTCACCGTGGACATTTGAGCCCTGACCCAGCGCCATGAACTCACACCGGGTGCGGTGCGTGCCTCCCCAGGAGGGGCTGCGTGTGGCCAGCCCCCGGGGGACCGCTCGCTCTCCCTCTCCCCTGGCGAGCACACACACCCTTTGGTAAAACAAAGGTCACCATCGCTACCGACAGCAGCCAGCAGGCCAACCGCCCCTCACGCCCACTGCAGGGAGACGCTGTCAGCGAGCCAGGGTGAGGCTTTCAGGGACCGATCTTTCGGGTTTTTTACGTTTACGTATTTATTTACTTCCACGTGTTACTGCTGCATCTTAATTCGATAACAGCGAGAGAGAGGGAAAGCAAGAAAGCAAGCCGCCAGGTCCGGGACTTGAACCACGGTCTTTAACCACCACGCCGCCTACTGGCCCAGGAAGCACCCTCCACGGTGTGGGGAGGACAGGAAGCAGGAGTAACAGACCGTGGTGACGACACAAAGCTGGGGAGCGAAGCACACCTGCCCGGCCGCAGGCGCCCACACTAGCGCTCCACACCCCGGCGGGCGCGTGCTGCAGCTCAGCCCTCCAAGCCAGCCCACCCCAGGGACCAGCAGGGCCGGCACCAGGTCCCGGGGGGAGGCGCCTGGGCACCCCGACATCACGTGACCATCCTGAATGCACGCCCAGGCCTCTGGGCCAGCAGGCACCCCATAGAACACCCCCCCAGGAGAGCCCCTCTCTGCTCTCTGTGCACGAGCAGGGCCTATGGGGAGAGGGGGCCCGAGGGCAGGGCCAGCAGCTGCGGCCACCCCAGCACATGGGACAAGCAAACGGTCCCATGAAGGAACAGCCCAGACGGTGGCGAAAGGCACAAGACAGACAGTGGGGGGCAGCGGGCAGAGGCGGCACCCTCGGGACAGCAGGGAGCCAGCTCTGCAGGCAGCGGACACGGCTCGGAGCCCCCGCGTCTTCCCTGAGGGGTCCTGGGTCCCCAGCAAGGCCCTGGGGCAGCGGGGCTGCCCACAGCCCAGTCTCCGTGGCGCGTGCCCCCGAGCCAACAGCACGCCCCTCCAGAGGCCTCTGGGTGGTCGGTGGCAGGGCACCAAGGCACGGCTGGCTCTGGAAGCCTCCGTGACCCTCAGGGGCCGTGGACTGCGGTACCCTGCAGGGCACCTGGCCGGGCAGGCACGCCCTCTACCCCACGGAGCTTCACTGGCTGGGCCCAGAGAACCCGGCTCCCACCCTCCCACGGGCGGCCAGAGCCCAACCTCCAGAGGAGGGCCGTGCCCAGGAGGCCCGGGGAGGTGCAGGCGGCCCTCTGCAGCAGGGCTGGGCAGAGGCTCCAGCTGGGTCTGTGGGAGGACTTGAACCCAGAAGCCCGGCCTGAGCCCTGAGATGAGCCGGGAGGCACCCCTCACCCTGAGGGTCTCTGTAGCTGTGCTCAGGAGAAGACTCACTGGCCGAGCAGAGACAGGGACAAAGGAGAAGCCCTACACAACGGCCGCCCACCGCCCTCCTGCGGGGACCACGGCCGCCTCGCTCGGCCTGCAGGTACTTACCCTCCTTCATGTTTGCGAAGCGCTCCTTCAGCTGGTGATCCACCTCAGGACCAAAGGCAAAGTTATTCACAAAGATAACACTGCAAGACAACGAGCCGGGCGTGAGCGCAGCCCGT